ATAAGCGTCAAATACTAACACAGATAAGAACTAAAACTAAAATACCAATTCAGTGAAAAAGCTAAAACCCAGAAGACGTTTTATTTCATTACCTGTCTAAAGTTCTTTTTAACTGTGATAGGTCATGTTCTGTTTCTTCACTGGGGTAAGGTAGAATGTCCAAAATATACTGAGTGTCCCAAATATACTGAAATTATAGACAAAAAGAAGATTCATTGTACTGTCTACCTAATACTGAGCCGAAATACATTGACTGCTTAGAGTACGTTTACAATCTGCTAATCCTATAGCTGGCACTTAAACAAGGCTGGTTGGATAGATAATCCAGACAAATGCAGGGTTCCATAACAGAGCAGTTTCAAATGTCTTAGGCTATCACCTAAGCCACAAACAAAATTGATTTTTCCAGACATGTTCCAGTGTCTGCTTACCCTTTCCTGCGACCAACTGTCATCTCACTCCCCTGATAAAACTCTTGACATGTTTTGCAGTATCCTCTACTCCTTTCCCATTCCAAACAGCTGTCTTCCCTTCCTGGCAGAAACTCCCTGACATCTGGATACTCAGGATGGCTACTGTTATGATGGACAGATTCCATTTTATCCAACTACCCAGCTCGGAGAATATAAAAATGAGCAAAAGGAGGAGGAGTGTAATAGTTTCACCAGCTACACAAATACTAGTTCAAGTAATGACTGTATTAAAGCATTAGCATGTTGAATAAATTTCTTTTAAAAGTCCAATTTTGTGACTTCTGTAAAATGATACAGAATGTTAAAATGCAATGATTCTGAAAGAATACACAATTACAGGCTTCCTAAATTTCTACCCAGGTAATGACAACACATCCAATCCCATAGCTCAAACATAGGATTTCTGCTTCATGGCCTAATTTGATGTTTTGTTTACTAGATTTAAGAACAAGAACATGTGTGTTAGATGAAGACAGATGAGTCGAAGAAAAGACAAAACATGAGTCACTTTCCTTGAGCTCACTGCCCATATCCCATCAATCACCAGTTCCACTTTGTGCTGCTTCCTAAATATGTATCATCTCTTGCATATTCTGCTACACTGCTTTCTTAAACTGTTTTCCTATATCCATTCTTCCCTCTACTTCAGTCTATTCTCCATAAGCAGCCAGAGTGATTTTTTTCCGAAGTGCAAATTGGGTCATATCACCCCACTATCCCCTTTCTAAATCCAATCAATGGTCCCCCTTCCTTGTAGAATAAAAGCTACACTAGTCCACATGGACTTTAAAGCTTTGCATAACTCTTGTCCCAGCTTCTCTCTGGCTTCATCAGGAGCCTGTCTCCCTCTCACTCAACATATTCAAACCACAGTGGCCTTCCCTCCATTATCCAGATGCATCAAATTTCTCCCATCCCTAAGGTCTGCTTTAGTGCTTTTCTCTTTGCCTGGCTCCCTCCTGCCCATGGTTCAGATCTCAATTTATATGTCACTTCCTCAAGGAATTACTCTGCAATCAACAGCAATGTGTTAGGTATCCTTTTATATCTCTCATGGGATCATGGAATTTTTCTTAGTAGCACTTTTAACAACTGTATTTAATTAACATATTAAATCAGACATTAAAGAGATTTGCAAAACTATAAAGCAATGCCATTCTCAATTTTTGGTTTTGAATAACAGTTAATTTTTGTTTAAAAATATTATCTTAATGTGCAAAATGTTAATTATTGTTTTAAATAGAGTATTTTTTTTAAAAGTTTAATTTCTAATATGGCAAATATCAATAGATTTAACAACATAAGCAAAACTTCTTTCGGTCATCAATAATTTTTAGGAGTATAAAAGGATTCTGAGATCAAAAATTTTAAGAACCACTGAATAAGAAATTAAACTATGGCTTGTGAAATTATGAGATACTGCATTTTAAATCCTTTAGGAATACTTAAAATTGTACTTAACTACACTTTATGTAGGAAACAAAGCTTTCATGTAATGTTGCTACCTTAGAAAGAAAAGGCTTAATTCTTATATACTGCTAAGAGAATTACAACAGGATTGTTCAGCTAGGTCATAAGCAATGTGTCAATTATAGAAGAGTTGATAAGAAAGTTCAACTTCCTATGACAAACACAGTTTACAGCTTTAAATGAATAATTTTTTCTTTGAAAGCATTCTAACAAATGTTATCTTTAATAACAAACACATATGGCCTTTAAACTTTCAAGGCAAAGGTTCTTGAAAATCATAATTAAAACAAACCTTTTGATCTTACAGAAAAGTTCTTAACATAAGAGTAATAAACAATTTTGCAATGACAAGATGGTGAATATGTACTCAATACTAACTACTGTCATGATGACTGTGATATCAACAAACCCATATATGGTACTTTTCTGAGAGCTTTACAACTTATAACAAAATAAATCCTTCCTAAATTTAACTTATTAAATGTAAACTTATTTTTTAACTTATTAATCAGCCTTAGTTACTATTATTATTAGCCCAAGGATATGTAACTTACCCCACGTCTGACAGCTAAATAACTGACATAAGTGAGGTTTGAATCCAGGGTCTGAGTTCTTAACTCTATACTGCCTGCCTACATACATACATACATACATACATATGTATAAATTAACCTTTCTTATTCTGCTTCTAAACAAAGGTAAAGGCTACCCAATCAATGCTTTGTGTTCTCCCAATACTCTTTCCTAGAGCTTCTTCAAAGGCTCCCATGAAGCACTGGTGAAACTGGAAATCACTGAATTTTACTACCGTTTTAACCAAAGCTGAATCAAATAATTTAGAACTTAATATTGTTTATTTACCTAGGGTCTATCTACCCACATTACTCTTATTTTGTTCACAAATTATCTAATTTCCTATTACATTTGGCTTTGCTTATTTTGGGTTTTCATTGTTCTTGAAGATTTTTCTGGCAAATTCTGGGTTTCTGCCCCTCGTAATTCTTCTGTGGACATTCAATATGAAATACTAATGTTCCTAGGCCACTGGACTCTTGGGAAGCTAATGCTGTGAAATCTTTGCTTTGTAATAACCCTATACTTTGTTCAATATCTATTTCATCTGTGCAACAAATATGATAAATAATAAAAGTTGGGAGTCTCCAGTAATTGAAAGGAAATTCTACCCAAGGTCAATGTATTTATGTTAAACAAAAGGTAGTTTGTATTCTCAAAATGAATTGAGTTACTGGGTCTGAATCCTCCTGATTAAAATGTAAACTTATTATTGAGTAAGGAACTTTGAACATAGTCAAAATTTTAGAGAAACATCAGTTTAAAATATATAATTAAACAGAAGGCTGTAAGTTCACCTGACAGAATATGTTTACTTTTGCTGAAATGTTAATGATGTCAGTGATACCTCCCTGTCCCTTCATTAATGTTGGGAAAATAAACTATATGTTTCTCCTCACAGCTTTGTTCTCCTCACTCCATTTCTTCTTGTCTTCACCCAGAAGCTAATGAAATAAAAGCTTTAGGGCTTCTTACGCTAACACCCCTTCTAAGATCTTATATCTAAATGTGTGGTTACAATTGTGTAGGCTTTATCCTAAAGAGGATAAAAATTGCATAAGATTCAGATGCTACGCAACATGGATCTGCCTTACCAGAGTTGTAAATATTTCAGTCAACTTGCAATTACTGCTCATATTTTTGTTTCTCTGTACTTGCAGCCAAGGAAAATCCTTTGGAGTGGCTCATAGACATCAGTCCCCTGGATACAAAAGCTTATTTTGGCAAGAAATTGGCAAAGAATTAAAAGTCAGGATAGATGGTAAACATGAATTTTAGATCTAAATTTCTATCAATAGATAATTAGATGAAAAACAATAATAAGGTAGATCCATATCAGAGACAAAGTGGAGGCCTCTAGTCCTAAATTAGTCTCAATAATTTAGAAATGTAACTTTAAAATGTTTGGTTTGGGGAAGATTTTATGTAAAAATTCAGGTGTCAAAAATTAGACCTGATAAAACTGGGTATAAGTGCTCTGGCCTGAATATATTTCCTACCTATCTCCCTTCACTCATTTCCAAGGCCTGCCTGTCCCCACCTAAGTTAAATTTAGGCAAGCCCAAAAGTTTATTATTAAAGCTTATTATTATTAGTCTTCAAATTATAGAAATAATGCCCAAGAGATACTAATTATTAAAAAATAAATAAATAAACTGACATAATAGCATTCATAGTATGTTTTAACTTTTATTTTAAATGATTTATATAATAAACTCTAAGATGAATTCATATTATTTATTATGGTATGCAGTATTTTTCAATATTCAGCAGAAAAAAGCAAGCACAAATTTTATTTTAAATAACATTTTCTATCACCTTTAAACATAACTTCAGTAGCAGACATTATGTTGACGGTTTGGCTAAAGAAGGACAAGAAAATAGAACCTGCTCAAATTCATGCATGGTGGCAACAAAAATTCAGGGATCATGGCACCAAATATCTTGTTTTCCAGGATGGAGCACAGGCTGAGGAAGCACAGATTATACATTTAGAGCCTACATTCATTTCTTCACAGCAGTATTAGAAAAGCCACAGTCGATGCCATTTCCATCTAGCTGCATCCAAGCCTTTCTCGGTACAGAGAAATATCTAATTACCCAATACCACTGGAGCAACTTGTGGGGATTGTTTTAATATATATTCACAGCATGTGTCATTATGGCTCCTGGCGGCTATTAAAAGGGTGGGCTAGCAACATGAATTAACAATAACACATTTGGTATATTATGGCTTTATAATGCCTAAAGCATTTAGCTAGTCTCCTTATTATTCTTAATGTGCCTTACAGCTCAGAAGAATCATGTAAGTGTGTATTCGGCTGGTCCCAAATGCTAAATGGAAAGCAAAATATCTCCTAAAAGTAGTTCTGAGTAACTGCTATGTCTAGTTTTCTTCCTTTTTCATCAACTAACATGGCATATGTTATAACCAACAGATTGTTCTGTTTTCAGAACCTTTTTTCTGTTTTTTTTTTTTTTTAGATGAGCAGAACAACTCTTAACAGTAGACAACTTCACCAGGAGAACAGCAGTTAAGTACAACAGGAAGGCCAGTGTCTCCCCAGTACCACCTGCCTAAGCTACTACAAGGGTCCCCCTAACAGAGGTACCTGCCTCTATTCACTCTCCTACAGCCCATGCTCCAGTCAGCAACTACAGTCATCTGTGAAAACTATCAGATCATATCACATTAGTCTTCAGCTTAAAGTGCTCCAGTGGCTTCGATATGTGCTTAGAATAAAATGCAAACTTCTCGTCATTGCCCACAAGGCTCCTTCATGCAGTGGCTGCCTACTTATCTCTGCAACTTCTCTTTGTACCATTCTCATTACTAAACCTGAAACATGTCAGCTCATAGTCATTCCACACTTTTGACATTTCATGGACCCTCAGCCTGGAATACCTTTTCATAGATCTTTTAATGACTGGCTTCTTCTCCATCTTCAGAATTCTGTCTAAAAGTCACCTCCTCAGAGACTACCCTATCTATAGCATCCAATTTTTCCCAATTCTCTATTGCTGTCCTATTTAAGTTTTTTTTTTTTTAATTAGGCCTAGTATAGTGAAATTAGTTGCTTTTTCTTAGCATGATTTCTTGACTATCCCTATATAAATATGGGTATGCACACACATGCATACGCACACAGAAATTCGCATTCCATTAGGTGCATGGCCTTATCTATCTTTCCTATTATCACCTCCCCAGTACCTGGAACAGATACTGACTGGTAGGCAGTGAGTGCTCAAAAAATTATCTGGCATGGACAAACGAACCTTCTAGTTAAGTATTTCCATCCAGGAGACAATCAAGGGAGCTCAACTTGGGAATATATTCAACTCAACTGTTTGAAATTACATCTAACAACACAGGAAATCATTCTCTCTTATTTATTTATTTATTTATTTATTCATTCATTCATTTATTCATTCATTCATTCTGGGCCAGTATTCAAGTCCTAGTCCCTCTTAATAGGGCAGAAAAAGTATAAGCTCTCGAGAAGAAATTATATTCTTCTACCCTCCCTCGCATGTTCTTCAACTTCAGTCACTCACCCACCCTCTGGTATGGTTTCTGCCATTTCTGTGTATAACAGGTACCAACTTTCACACAATGCTCTTTTCACCTTTTCACAGTAGCCTCACACTAAGTATTAGGTTGGTGCAAAAGTAATTGTGGTTCTTGCCATCAAAAGTAATGGCAAAGGCCAGACGCGGTGGCTCACGCCTGTAATCTCAGCACTTTGGGAGGTCGAGGCGGGCAGATCACGATGTCAGGAGTTTGAGACCAGCCTGGCCAACATGGTGAAACCCTGTCTCTACTAAAAATACAAAAATGAGCTGGGTGTGGTGGCACACGCCTATAATCCCAGCTACTCAGGAGGCTGAGGCAGGAGAATTACTTGAACCCGTGAGGCAGAGGTTGCAGTGAGCCAAGATCACGCCACTGCACTCTGGCCTGGATGACAGAGCGAGACTCCATCTCAAAACAAAAACAAAAGGTAATGGCAAAAACTACAATTACTTTTGCACCAGCCTAACAGTAATAACTTTAAGATAAAGAGTTTGCTAGGATAGTTTTTCCCGAATTATATTATAATTGCTCCTTGGCTATTAAAACACATACCCATAGGTATTCATTTTCACATATTTTTCCATCTAATAGTCTCTTCGAACATTTGGGAAAACTGGATTAGAGATGAAGGGAGACTTTCTTCCAGGGATAGAAGCTCCCCTCAGGCAGCAGGACATTGCAGAGTCCCTAGAGGGCTCCTAGTTTTTACTAGGCACTCAATGGTGTCACGCTCTGTGCTTTATTTATTACAATACCCCTTTGAGGAGGTATCCATATAATGTGTTTTGCAGGGGAGGACCCAGGTACAGGGAGTTTCAGTCAATAGGTCAAGGTCACATAGCTAGCAAAAGGCAGAAGTCATATTCAAATTCAGGTCCGTGTGGGCACCAGATCCATTCTTGGAACCACTGAATCATACATCATCTTTGCAATGCATAAGTGATCCGTGCTTTGTTTTACAATACACTTCTTTCCTAAGGTAGTAATGCAAGAGCTTTTATTTATTTCTTTTAGCTACTAATCTAAAAACTGCACACACACAGCTTCTCTTCAATATTCCCAAGTAACAAGTTGTTGAAAAACCCTACTGAAAACAAGCGGAGTCTTCTTTTCATTACTCAGTGATGTTTAAGTGTCGCTAGTCTAATCATTGTCTTTTATACCATTAGACTTTTATTTTCATAATTATAGGCTGCCATGGGCTTCTTCCAAAGCCCCCTGCCAAGTCTTCATTCCTACATACAGTTGCTAATTGCTTTCTTAGCACCACTGGTTATTCTCTGAACCTTTGGATTTCACTACCTACAATAGGCCCCTGGGTTTTTCTCCCCTTCAGTAGCCCTTAGCACAATGGTCACAGCACTCCATGGCTGACTTTGTTCTGCCCCACAAGTCTCATCTCCTCATTCTCAGAGTGGGGTCAAGTCAGTTCTGTGCCTGTGCTGCCTCCCGTTCTCTCTCAATGCTTGGTTGTGATGCTTGATCCTAAGGTTAAAGCAACTAAACTGTAGTGGCTTTGAAACAAACTTGTATGTTTCCTCCTCCCCTCCATATAGTGTGAACTATATATAATTTAAACATTAACAATAACAGCAAACTCTTATTGAGTTCCTATTAGTCTCCACCACACCAAAGCCTCTCAACAAATTTATTTCGTAAAAAACAAACAAAAATGAGCAAACCTCCCTGTGGAGGAGTACTGATTTTATTTCCCTTCCCTATCTTCCAGAAGAGAACACTGAGGTTCACAGAGGAGAACCCATTCTTCCTGGTTCCAGAGTCCCTACTCTAAAGAGCCACTACCCACTATCCTTCCTGTGAAAACTGTCCCAACTTGATCCTGATGCAAAACGATGGCAAATAACAGGCAGTAGATAGATTTTTAGAGTAAAAGAGAAAGAGAAGATAATTAATTTAAGTTGTGAAAAAAATTCAAGAAGGGAGATGCTTCCTTTCAAGACCTATAATCTGTTCCTGTATGTCTTTCACTTGTTCGTCGGGGAATCTCTGAAATGCTCCCTTCACAAAGTTTCTCCTTATGGTCATATCCCTCCTAAGCCATCCATGAGGGTTCCCATGAAGGCCCAGTTCACTGGAGCTGCCTGACATACTGATTATCACTCTCTAAAGCACCCTCTTTTGGACAACAAATTATATGGCCACCCAAACCATAATCTCTATGAGGGCAGGGCTGTACCTTATTCTCGTTTTTATCTCTCACCAGGATTTTCAGATTATTTTTATTTTATTTTATTTTATTTTATTTTATTTTATTTTATTTTATTTTATTTCACTTCATTTCACTTCATTTCATTTTATTTGAGACAGGGTCTCGCTCTGTCACCCAAGCTGGAATGCAGTGGTGTGATCTTGGCTGAAACCTGTGGCTCCCAGGTTCAAGCAATTCTCTTGCCACAGCCTTTCTAGTAGCTGGGATTACAGGCACACACCACCATACCTGGCTTATTTTTGCATTTTTAGTAGAGATGGGGTTTCACCATGTTGGCCAGGCTGGTCTCGAACTCCTGACCTTAAGAGATCTATTCGCCTAGGCCTCCCAAAGTGCTGGGATTACAGGAATGAGCCACCGCGCCCAGCGAGGATTTTCCGATTTTAAATCAGTACTGGAATAATGCTTGCTAAGTATTCTTCCTCCCAGGCTAGGCAGAATTTCGCCATTGCTAAATCCTTCATAGCATTTTGTGTTGGTGTCTCTTACAGAAACTACCACATGCCAACCTTAATAGTTCACAGACCATATATGCCATGCCTTCGTGGCAGGCCTGAGTCTCCAATAATCTCTGTATCCCTAGATACCTGGTTAGATACTTTTTGTTGTTGTTGTTGTTGTTGTTGTTGTTGAGACAGAGTCTCGCTTTGTCGCCCAGACTGGAGTGCAGTGGCCGGATCTCAGCTCACTGCAAGCTCCGCCTCCCGGGTTCATGCCATTCTCCTGCCTCAGCCTCCCGAGTAGCTGGGACTACAGACGCCTGCCACCTCGCCCAGCTAGGTTTTTGTATTTTTTAGTAGAGACGGGGTTTCACCGTGTTAGCCAGATGGTCTCGATCTCCTGACCTTGTGATCCGCCCGTCTCGGCCTCCCAAAGTGCTGGGATTACAGGCTTGAGCCACCGCGCCCGGCCACCTGGTTAGATACTTTATCCGGTGATGTGGGTAACTATATGCTGACCAACTGAACTCAATATTCTTTTGATGTCCTCATTTTGCATGCAAACTCTTACTGTCCTTCTGCCAATGGAAGAGAAAATTTGAGAGTTGTGAGATCAGTGATACAACAAGTGCTGGAGGAAAGAAGACAATCTGTCTGCACCTGGAGAACAGGAGAAAGTTTAGAAACAGGGTTAAAGGACTAGGAGGTGTTCTCTAGGTATAAATGTCTGGGTGTTAGGGATGGGAGAGAGTTGAGAGAACCTCCCAGGAAGAGGGAAAATACAGGGCACATACAAGAGAGTCTGCACACAGAATGGTGTGAGTAGGTTGGGTGGCTCCTGATGGCTGAAGTTTAAAATCAGAACGGAGATTTGAGTAGACGTTTACTTCTCAACAGGCAGTTCTGTTAAATACCAGAGCAACAGTAAATAAGCATTTAATGCAAAACTTGCCCTCTTAAAACAGTGACTTTGGGATCATCCAAACTGCATTGTAACTGAAGATAACAGACAAACAGGGGAGCAAATCGAAGACCTCAGGACAGCTTATTCGAGGCTGAGACAGAATACAGCATTCTCTCTCTCCATTTTTGCACTTCCCTCAACAGATCTACAGAACTGCAGACGACCAAGTCCTGACCAGGAATGTGATCATACTGAAGGGAAAACAGTCATTTCAACATTTCTGTGGGTCCCTGTGCTGAAGGGATGCAGGGAGGCTGGGTGCTCTGTTTACAAAACATAATACCAATCATGGGACAAAGCTATTTAGCAGAGCAGCAATGGGACAGCCCCATAGGGAGAGAAAGGGTGAGGAGATGTTAACAAATGGTCTCAGGGGAATGCATTTGAGGAAGAAGGACCAGAGGACTTGTACAACAGAGCTGTCTTCTGTTCAACTAAAAAGCATTGTTGGCTGGGCATGGTGGCTCATACCTGTAATCCCAGCACTTTGGGAGGCCGAGATGGGCGGACCACCTGAGGTCAGGAGTTCGAGACCAGCCTGACCAACAGGGAGAAATCCTGTCTCTACTAAAAATACAAAATTAGCTGGGCATAGTGGTGCATGCCTGTCATCCCAGCTACTCAGGAGGCTGAGGCAGGAGAATCGCTTGAACCCAGGATGTGGAGGTTGCGGTGAGCCGAGATTGCACCATTGCACTTCAGCCTGGGCAACAAGAGTGAAACTCCATCTCAAAAAAAAAAAATCAAAAACCAAAAACCAAAAACACTGCCTGCACTATACTAACAAATTCTGTAATCCCTCTCCTTTACCCTAAGCCTTTACTTTGTCTGCTGCACACAATGATTGCAGGATTAAAGCACTTTGGGAAAATGAAAAACTGGGAAAGCATCCAGGCTGAAAGGAAGTATGGAGGGAAAACAACAGTTGGTTGTCTCTCGAGACAAGATACAGAGAAAGGAGGGAGATTCAGGAAGGGGACTTATGGGGGCATGTGCATGTGTTTAGGGATAAGAATGAGAAGCAAATAATCATACAGCCCTTTGGCCTTGAGAACTGCTGGTTTTGGAGCATGCATCTATCTGTGGACACTGATATCCCATCTTGTCTCTATTGTCACGCCATTTCTCTATGTGAATGTGAGCCGTTATCTTCTCCTCTGGCTAGAACATCTATCTACCTAACGTAGTAAATGAATCAATTTTAATTTAAAGAAAAATCAAAAGTCATTTCCATGCACTGACATAAGAAAGCACTTAATCTCAATAAACTAGCAGTTAGGATGATGGGAAAATCTACAAGGGCTCAGAGGTATGTAGCAAATCAAAATTCTCCCCATTTGTATAATGGAATAAAGCCAAAGTAAGCTTTCTTCCTGGCCTAAACCACATAACCTAACACATATTAGAAAGATGGGCTGGGGCAATGAGCTGTGACCACTGCTGATTCAAAGGAGTCCCTAACCTCTCCCCACCAGTTTCACAGAACTGCACCGGCTCTGGAAAATGACATTTACCAAGATTCTTAATAAAATGAACATCTTTGCCTGTTTCATACATTATTAGATTTTTTTGGCATGCATTTCAGAACTCTAATACCTTAACTCTGTCTACGAGTGAGGTGGGAGTCCCCAAAGGACCACCATCCCACCCCTGAAAATATTTTTATTACCCAAGTCAGAGGAAGTGAGGAAATGAAAGTTTCCTGACTCTTGCCAGCTAAATAGCTTGATTCAAGTGTGTTATGTTTTCATTATTTACATTTCTCTTGGAATGTGAGGGCTGTCTTCAAATTTTGTGACACCTGTTTTTTTGTTTTGTTTTGTTTTGTTTTTTTCAGGTACTTCTGTTCAGTGATTTCCTGGAAGAAGGAAGAACATGGCTGAAATGAACAATCAACGAACACTGATTTAATCTATACCACACTTACCTCCAGTGAGGTAAACCATGGATCACTGTTGAAAAATATTCTTATAAGGCCATTGGATAAAAACAAGTATTAGATATCAATCAGTGCTCTGATTTGGGAAGAGCCATTTATGGTCTCTAAGCTTATGTCATCTCGTCTACAGAATGAAAGTGACTGATTCCTCACATGGCTTCCAACTCCAAGAATTTCTGGAATGCTGTACTGACACTCATACAGAGCTGTTTGGGGGTTAATGATTGTTCTTCATTTCTGCTTCCTTTTCTTGATAGATTTTATCAAAAAGTGAGCCATTTTAAAAAGCAGTTATTGGACATTTTTTAAGAACTGCAGGAGAGGTGGAGATAGTTGCAAGAGCGAGACCCGTTAGGTTTCCTTTTTCTTTTACTACCATTTAACTTTTTCCTCCAAGCCTCTTGCCTTACAATAAACAAAAAAACAGATGACCATGTCACTCCAGACTGTCCTTCATAATGGCAACAGCAACAATAATATAAGCTTTTAATTTTTGAACTCCCACTGTACGGCAGACCTTTATCTCATTACTAGAAGGAGTATAAAGGCATGAAACCACTGGCCCTGATGTGCTGTATTGATCCCAGTTATGTAAAATGTCCAGAATAAACAAATCCGTAGAGACAGCAAAGAAGATGAGTGGTTGCCAGGAACATTAAGCACAGGAGAATGGGGGTGACTTCTTAACCAGCACAGGGCTTTCTTTTGGGAAGATGAAAATGTTCTGGAGCTATTAATATACAGGAGTAGTTATGGTTGTATGACCTTGGGAATACACTTAAAAAGCCACTGAATTGCATACTTTCAAATGGTGATTTTTTTTGGTATGTGAATTATATCTACTAAAAAGATAAAATTAAAAAAAATAAAACACACACCCATGGCTCTGGATGGAGATTGCCCAGGTTCAAATCCTAGTCCTACCACTTCTCAGCTTTTCTAAATCGAAGTTTCTACATGCATAAAATGAGAGAAATAACAAACACCTCACAGGGAAATTAGAGGACTGAATAATGCTATGACTTTTAGGTACAAAGGCCAATTTATAGCATGTTTAAAAATATTCTGGCCAGGCGCGGTGGCTCACACCTATAATCCCAGCACTTTGGGAGGCTGAGGCTGGCGGATAACAAGGTCAGGAGATGGAGACCACGGTGAAACCCCGTCTCTACTAAAAATACAAAAAATTAGCCGGGCGAGGTGGCGGGCGCCTGTAGTCCCAGCTACTCGGGAGGCCGAGGCAGGAGAATGGCGTGAACCCGGGAGGCAGAGCTTGCAGTGAGCCGAGATTGCACCACTGCACTACAGTCTGGGTGACAGAGCGAGACTCCATCTTATAAAAAAAAAAAAAACTTACAACCTGTTTTTTGACTTGAGAAAAGCCACTCCTGGTCTCTAAGCTTAAGTCATTGTGTCTGCAGAATGAAGGAGACTGGTTCCCTACATAAGCACCCCATAAATTTTCCTGTTATTATTATTTAATCTCCACAATAGTTCTATAAAATACATAGAACATTACTGATTTTAGAGATGAAGAAACACCTGTAAAGGGCAAGGAAGTTGCTGAAGTTGCAGAGCCACTAAGTGGCAGAGGTGAGATTTGAGAAATGTCAGAATGGAGCCTCACACTCTTGAGTGACACATCATTCCCTCCTGACCCACATATTAATAACCCAGCATATGCACGAGCTGCTTACTGACTTCTTACTATGTTATAGAAACTCAGGGACACTGCCCTCAAGAAAGCCATTACCTGGCCAGTTGTAGTGGCTCATGCCTGTAATCCCAGTACTTTGGGAGGCTAAGGTGGGCAGATTACTTGAGGCCAGGAGTTTGAGACCAGCCTGGGCAGCATGGTGAAACCCTGCCTCTACTAAAAATACAAAAATTAGCCAGGTGTAGTGGTGAGCATCTGTAATCCCAGCTGCTTGGGAGGCTGAGGCAGGAAAATCACTTGAACCAGGGAGGCGGAGGTTGCAGTGAGCCAAGCTTGCGCCACTGCACTCCAGCTTGAGCAACAAAGTGAGTGAGACACCATCTCAAAAAAAAAAAAAAAAAAAAGAAAGAAAGAAAAGAAAAGAAAAAAGCAAAGCAAAGCAAGCCATTACCCAAGATGGGAGAAGAACAACAGTGCCCAGGGATTAAGGAAATTAAGAAACAGGTGAACACAGTAAAAGTATAAAAGTAGATATTTTTATCATGTGATTCAGAACCTTCTGTCTTTAGAAGGTGACTTGCCTATCAGGGAAAACCCAGAGTAACTGGGCTGAGAAAAAAACAATATGTAGATGAACTTTGGAGAGTTTCTAAGAAAATAATTAAGAGGCTGAACGCTGTGGCTCACACTTACTTATAATCCCAGCACTGTGGGAGGCCAAGGTGAGAGGATCGTGGCCAGGCATTGAAGACTGGCTTGGGTGACATAGCAAGACCCTATCTCCAAAAGGACTTTTTTAAAGTTAGCCGGGCATGGTGACGCATGCCTATAATCCCAGCTTCTCAAGAGGCTGTGGCAGGACAGCTTGAGCCCAAGACTTTGAGGCTGCAGTGAGCTATGATTGTGCCACTGCACTCCAGCCTGGCCAACAGCACAAGACCCTATCTCTAAAAAAGAAAACAAGAATTAAGCGTAATCAGCCACTCACCTCTATGCCAAATACCATATTTTACTTAAGATTTCAAATCTCATTGTTCTATACCGTGGCCACTAGCCACATGTAGCTAAATTTAAATATATTAAAATTAAATAATATGAAAATTTTGGTTCCTCAGTTCATACCACCACATTTTTTGCTCGCAAGAGCCACATGTGGCCACTGGCTGCCATATTGGACAGCCCAGATAATAGAGCATGTCCTTCACTGCAGAAAGTTTTATGGGATCCACTAATCTAAATATAAAATCACATCATTCACAGTCAAATAATAAGAGAAAATGCAATACTTTATTTCATATCCTAAAAATAGATTTGGTATCCAAGTGAATACCTGGAACTACTATAAATGCTCACAGAAGTTGTAAGATGACATTATAATTTCTTATTTACACTTTAAAAATAACATTATCTGATCATATTGCTCTGGTGTAAAGACTTTCCAGAAAATAAATCACTTTCCTAGACTACCTTATTTTTAAAAATCGCAGATAGCATAGACAAACAGATAATGAACACGTAAGCTCACTTCATCTCAGTTTTGAAATGGATACAATTCATTGGTCTTGAAAAGAAAAGTTCAGGACATCGGGGAAAACTCAGTTGCTCTGGTCTCTGAGTTAGTAGCCTTATGAGTAGAATGCCTTTTTGTCCAAAGAATTCTCAAAATGTTATTATTTTTGTTTATTTGTGTTTTTTGAGATTGAGTCTCACTCTGTCTGCTCAGGATGGAGTGCAGTGGCATGATCTTGGCTGACTATGACCTCCCCATCCTGGGTTCAAGCAATTCTCCTGCCTCAGCCTCCTAAGTAGCTGGGATTACAGCCACAAACCACCATGCCTGGCTAATTTTTGGATTTTTAGTAGAGACGAGGTTTTGCCATGTTGGCCAGGCTGGTCTCGAACTTTTGGCCTCAAGTGATCTGCGCTCCTTGACCTCCCAAAGTGCTGGGATTGCAGGCATGAGCCACCACTCCTGGCCTCAAAATATTTCAATAACCATTCTAATTTGAGCAGACATGGTAGTGGCAACAACTCGGAAATAAAATAATCTTATGAGGTTTGGTCAAATATGCCAATAAAGTTCCTCTCCCATCTTGCCTCTGAGCCATGCTCATATTTGTGAAATGGGAGGAAAAATTTTTCTCCTTCTTTGCAGATATATTACTCTCCTTCTTTGCAGATATATATGTGTGTATATATGTGTGTATGTGTGTACACATACACACATAAACACACAGAAGCACACACACATCCAACAGAAGTTGATATCTATCATCCAGTACTTAAGTTTTTAAGTATAACTGACACACATATACATATAAATTCAATCAATTACTTTACAATCTGAACACTTTCATGTAACCAATGCCCAGATCCAGAAATACAGTATTATCAACACCTCAGAGCCTACCTGCCACAGCCTTCCAGGTACCTCCTCCTCAAGGGTAACTAACATCCTGACTTCTAGCACCATTGGTGAACTTTGACAGTTTCCACACTTTATGTATGTGGCACTCTTTTTTGTCTAGCTTCTATCACTGAACAAGACACCATCTAGTTTTGACAGATCCTCCTTATTACCACAAGGCAGCCATTTAATGCTTTCCTGCTTTATAGAGTAACTAATCCTTACTGAGCACATATTATGTGTCAAGTGCTTTACATGCCTTAACTCCTTTAATTCCCCCAAACAAGCCTATCAGTAAAGTATTATTATTATCCCTGTGAAATAGAGGAGGACATTGACGTGTAAAATTGGTGAGGCTATAGTTCCCACTTATTCAATTACATACTAATCTAGGTGTTCCTGTGAAAGGATTTTGTAGATGTAATTCAAGTCTCTAATCATTTGACTTTAAATTAGGGAGATTATCCTGAGTGGACCTGATTTAATCAATTGAAGGCCTTAAACATAGGGCTGAGGCTTCCAGGAGACAGGGAGCAGAAAATAAGGAGGGAAGGGGGCACTTTTTCTGGAGCAGATAACCATGAGCAACAATCATCCATTAACTTATACATGCCAATAATAGATGTCACACCAACTCAAAGACAAGTGTCTTCAGTTCATTCTTATATAGGAACTTGGGGTAAATATGTTATGCGCCATGTTATTTTTCAAGCCAGCCCTGATGTCATTTGTTCATGCACGCTGTCCCTGTAAGAACACTCTCATTTTTCAAGTCCTGCATCAGATTTCAAGTTGGGAAAAATAACGTCACTCTATCCATGGTAGGGTGATGGAGGTGTTTTTGGACAGCCAGACTTTTCAGATTTACTCATCTTTCAAAGCAGACTCAGTGAAAGGCTTCTCTTGAGCAGATCTAAACAGATCTCAAGTAAACCTAGGAGATTTTTTAAGAACGGAAGCAATTTCTTCCATTATCATATCCCCCTTAACATATATCATTGAGCAGGACTGAAGGGAAGTCTTGGTACATATGGATGCATATTATCATTTGTCTTCTCTTTTCCTATTTAAGGCTGATTTTAAGGATTTTCCATTTTCGGAGTTGAAATTAAATGGAATTCTTAGTTTTCTCTTCCAACCCTCAAGAGTTCCTCCTCAAGTCTTCTCCCTCTCAATTATTAGTGTGCCACATTCGCTGGGTTTCCTGGGCCAAACTCAGTAGTGATCAGCAAGTCAGTTCTGTCTCCAGGCATATCCCAAAGCTAACATCTTATCTCCATCTCCATCATAAGCACCCTTGTTCTGACCACACTCTTTGCTAAACACAAGAGGCCTGAGTGATCTCCCAGCTTCCACTCCTGCCCCTCTAAAGCCA